TGAGAACTCCCCTGAGATTTTCACATCCTGAATGTTTCTCACCAAAGTAGCTCGTGTTCTAGGATAATGTGTTTTGTTGTTTCAACTGCTGTTCCTGGTTTCTGCTCTCGAAAACCCTTTTAAGCCATATTTTTCCATGATTGTTCTGTGCCGGCTTTGGTATTTAAATAAGCCTTTCAATGGGTCATTAGCACTGTAATTAATTCCAGATATTTTTGAATGGTGCCTTGGTTATTAAAGAGCTGCCATATTCTCTACAGCCTTGTCTTTCTTGGAGCATCCCTAAGCATTAGCTGATTTTTTTTTTTATTTTTTTTTTAGTGCCAAAAGTATTGTAATCTTTTTTTTTTTTTCCTTTCAAAAAAATATTCCCCATTGGTCAGAAGAGTCAAACTTTTGAATGAGGGCAGGAAATATTTAATTATTATACTTCTGTATGATAATCTTGGGCTTTCATTCTTCTTTCAAAAGATCTCAACAAATAACCATCAAGGACGTCCTGTAGGCCAGGTGCCCTGCCCTATATGTATTTACTTACATTTTCAAAATCAATATTGGCAGATCCATATTAGCTCCAGAGCTAGAATTAGAGCCCAGACCACTTGACTCTTAGCCCATTCTTTCCATTTCTTTATGCTTTGTTATATAATATTAACTTAGCTGTTAGGCTCTGTGACACCAGCAGAGGCTTACCAATTCTAATATTAGAACCAGCAAGCCTGGCCCCATACCCTTGGCAGATGTCAAAATCAATTTCAGCACAGTGCATCTCAACCAGCATCCCAAGCATCCACTAGAAGCCATCTGACTGAGGAAATGAGCTGACACCCACTTGCTACCTTGACCTTAAAGTAATCCCAGGATAAAGCAGTAATTTCTGGTTCAGAAAAAGCAGATGGAGATTAACTTTGATTATTGAGTATTATCTGAGATCAAGTCAAAATACCAATAGCTCATATAATAATAGCAATAGTGGCTACCATTGTGTGCCAGGCGCTGAGCTAGTTGCTTAGATATGTTCTTGCATTTGAGCCTCATAACACCCTGTGGAATAGTTACTCTTGTCTCCACGTTACAGATTAGAAAAGCATAGACTGGAGAGGTTAAATAACTTGCCCATGATCTCTGAGCTAATAAGTGGCCGACTTAACATTTAGGCTCCCATCTGTTGATCTCTAAAACTACTCCTGATATCTAACAGCACACACAGTGTGTCCATGTGCGGACTACTTTTGGGCTAATCCTTGATGTCAGGAGCGTAGTTACTACCTTTCTCTCCATGAGCATGTCCCTGTTCCCCCTCTCCCAGCTCCCATGGCCTTCCCCCCGCCCCCAAGTCCTGTGAATTCCTTTGTCATCTTTGGGTTTCAGGCTCTCATAAAAGTAGTTCAAAAAAGAATGCTTGCCCCCACTGATTTTATTTATTTGTTTCATTTTATGATAAATTAGGAATCCTTTAAGTCATTTTGCTTCTTGCCACAGTTTCCATGCTAAAAGGGAAACTTGCTTTGGGCTTTCTAGGATAGCTTTGACAAACCTTTCATTCCCCCTAATTAATGCATGCTAGAAGCAGGTGATAGGACCCCCAACCCCACTTCTTTGAAGCACCTGCAATATGTTAGTCACTGAACTAGGCACTGGAGATGTAAATTGAGAAAAACAGAAAGACAGGCCCCTGCTCCGAAGACCTTCCATCCTACACATGTGGAGAGGGCTGATAGTTATGTAGCATTCCAGGAGATGAGAAATGCTGTGAAGAATGAATTCAGTTGGTATAATAGCAAATGACTTGGGAAGAGAGGACGAGGAATGCCTCTGGTGTTTGATTTCTGTGGACCCTAAGACAAAGATTAAGGAAGACTTTAACTTAAGAAGCAACTTAAGCTTCTGTATCTCTAGGCATGTCTGAAGTGCACGTGTCCAGGACTGAGACCAGGGGAAATGTCAAGTGGCCACCAGCTCAGTCCAGTGTCATCTTCCTCCTTGGCTCTCCCATCATTTTTCTGATCTGCTGGGACCTCTCTTCACCCTCAGTTTTCCAGTATTCTGTCTGTGAGGCCAAAGGGTACTGCCTCTCCTTACCGCCGCTAATGTGAACCATGAACTATCTCACTTCCTGTCCTCAAGGTCAGGCAGCTGCCAAGGTGTCAGCCAGCCACCCTGATAGACTAACCTCTGCCCACTCCTCCCTAGTGAGTGATTTCTGTTGACCCTGGTTCTACCATTCCATCTGTGAAATGGAAGAGTTTGCATGTTGGGAAGATGGCAGGAGAACGAATAGATGGGGGGAGGAGGGGCTGCTCCTGGGTTTCATCGCAGCTAGAAAATCTCAAAATAATCACGTTACCTCCCAGAGCCTCAGTTGCTAAAAACAGGGGGAAGGAGGAGAGGGGGTCCTGATTGGGTCCGTGATGTGAAAGGGCATTTGGCTCTTTAGAACATGCTAAACGAAACAAAAGCTATGATTGTCTAACGCTGAGAAGGAGCTTCGGAGGAGGAAGAAAGGCCAGCAAGGCTCATTGAGAGGCATTAGATCCTTCAAGGTCTCTTCCTGAGGAGAACTAGTGTGAGCAATGGGCTCTTGTTGAAATGAAAACAACGACTCTTCCTATGCCCAAATTATGTTTAATATCTTAAGCCTTAGAAATAGCAGGTTTTAACTGTCAGCCACATCTGCTGACAAGGATGTGGGTAACTCGGCAGAGACCAGAATGAGCCAAAGCATCCACATCATTTTCTTGTGTAAGTGACCAGCTTCTTCTTCTTGTTATCTGTCATTTTACTCCATATTGAGGTCAGAGTGGTAAAGCCATTATGCAGTATACATTTCCTTTTGCTTAAAAGGCATGAGATTATCCAGACAACGGGCTAGGGCACTGAATCACAATCACCAGTCATTTCCAAATGCTGAAAATGAATATGCACAGATTTCTTCTGTATGGGTATATTAATGTGTTGCATATTCCCTGCAGAACTATAGTTATTACTTAATTTATTTCATTTATGGAATCATGTGAATCTTGCAGAAATCTAAAAGATGAAAGGGGACTGCTTAATGCATAGCTGTCTGGTCTGCCTCCAAAGGTGTTGCCTGAGTGTGACAAAGAGCAACTGGTCCGCACAATGAATCTTTTGCACAATCTCAATTAGCAGAAAGAGCAGCAAAGCCAGCGCAGTTCTGCAAAATGCTTCTTTTGTTTTCTCTAAGTGTGGTCATGATTTCACACAAACGAAAACTTATTTTTTTAAGCCTGTGTTTGGTGTAATTTGAGGTGTGAATTCAGCCATTCCTTGCTTGAACTTTTATTATTTCAGAATTAAGGTGGCATTATTTAGACCTCTTCATCTCCTTTGAGTCACATTTTCATTTTTTTTTTCGACTGCCCTTGAGGAAAACAAATGGCATTAAGAAAGATTAAATTTTTTCCCAATGAAAGCTTATTGTATGGTGACAATAGTTTTAATCTAATGTATAAGGGAGAAGGATTGATCATGGATAACATTTCTATTGATATTTTCTAGATATCATTCTGCAGCAGTTTTTTTTAATGTATTTTTGATGAATACTGTAAGGGGAAGTCATTGATACCTAGATTTTAAGTTTTATGATTTTAAATATTATTTTTCAAATGAATATGTTTGGGATTGGGTGTGAAAAACTTAAAACATTAAAATTTCCATCCAAATTTCAAGTCTTATGTGTTCTTCTGTATTTTTTTTACTGGTTCAAAAGCAGCTCAGATATAAGCAAGTATGTCTTTTGGCCATTTAGTTTAAAAAATCATTTATATTTTCAGCTCATTATGAAATGAGCTGCATTCTCTTTGTGATTTAACTGATGGCTGGGGAAAAAATTATACACTTATGAAGAAACCCTGGAGTTTTACTTGTGGCTATTTCACAAACAAATAATAAAATGGAATTTTATTTTTTTGTTTTTTATGTTAAAAATGAGATAGGAGAGAATGGAAAATGACATTGCATTTCCAGTTTATAATTTGAAAGCCTAGAACATAAGTGAAATAAAAAGTTCACTATAAGTGTATCACCAGATGTCCCACTCTCCCCAACTCAGGCAATCTCTTTGTGAGAACTCACCTTGGAGATTTAAAAATCATTGCAATAAAAATGTGATATTAAAAATGCCATACTACCACTACAGCAGGTATGACAAATATGTGACATCCTGGGAAATTACAAAATATTTTCTTATACAGAATTTGGTATTTCCCTGGTTGAGTGGCTCTGTCGGTTGGAGCATCCTCCTATATATCAAAAGGTTGCATGCAGGTTTGATTCCCAATCAAAGCACTTACCTAGGCTGCAGGTTTAGTCCTCAGTCAGGGCGCATACTTGGGGGGAGTGGGGAGCAACAAATCAATGTTTCTCTCTCTTTAAAAAAAAAAAAATCAATAAAAACATACCCTTGAGTGAGATTTTTTTTTAAAATGTTGAAACCAAAGAGTAGAGCAAATACTGTTTTATATTTAGCCTATTCCCTAATGCCTTGTTTGTTTCTTGCATTAATTCATGGACCATGAATGGGGGAGGAAAATAACAAGCACAACAAAGTGCCCTGGTGATGCGATAGCAAACACCACTTCCTAATGCTTACCCTGCCTCAGAACATCGCTTTGTTTTCTTCTCCCTTGTGCACAAGTTGGTTGCAGAGTGAGAAAATACAAGGCAACTCTGTTGTTTAATGTTGTACCATTAACTCCACGCACACAGTGCTCTTCATTCTACAACCCTCCTCACTTTGGGATGAAGCATGGGGTTTCGTTGCTTGTTTACAACAGGCAACAGACACAGTACATAAAAGGTGTTACCCAGCATCAGACATATCAAGCATACCAGAAATCTGTCTACTTTATCAATAAGACCATGTTAAACTGTACATATCAAGATGTTTAAGAGAAGTAATATGAAGCTACTCCGAGAGTTGTATACTTTCATCCACCACATTATTTTGAACCGGCATTTTGCACCTTTCAAGGTAGTATTTCTACTTCTTGCCTTCTGAAGTTTGAGGATTTCATTCTTAATTCCCAATATTTCTCAGAAAGGAACACATCTCCCCATCAAAATTATTGGATGACTTTGGCAAACGTAGGCCACCTATTAGCTGAAAAGCGTTCTATGTGTTGGAGTACCCAGAATGGATCACCCAAAGGTTCTCTTTTGGAAAAGTACCAGCCCAGAGCCTGAAATGCCAGAGAGTGGAAAGTCCTGGTCTCCGTGGGGAAATGACGGTAGTGTTCTTGGAGACAGTGTTTTCGCATGGCTGACATTAATGACAGCCCGATGCTCTGCACTCCCTGAATGTTTTCATTCCAGAAGAGCATCAAAACCACTGAGTCCTTTCAAGTCATCTTCTTTTACTGCAAAACCAGAAACCATGTCGACAACGACTTTCAGTAATAACCTGTGTCCCAGCTGCAGGCTGTATTAAACGCCTTGTCATATAATTTTCTAATTTGTGTGTAGGTAGTTGTAGCAAACAACTTCGTTTATTTCAGAGCATGACATCAGAAAGCATACTTGAGTGCAGCAGCGATGGCAATGGGATCAGAATTTCCACGAAGCCCACTCTAATTGAACGGTATGGTGAGGAGAGATAAAATAGGAGGGTCTGAGTTCCCTCCCAAAGTCATATTCATTTTTAGGTAACAAAGCCGATTTTATTTTAACAATTGTACTGGGAGGTGTGCTCCCACATGAGCATTGCCCCTTCAAGGCACTCAACTGGGGTGGCTAATAAACACTTGTGCCAAAAATGCTCAAGGTCACTGCCAAAAACCCATATGCAATTCCTCTTCTGGAACTACTTTAAGCTCCTTTAGCAATGTTTTAATATTTTCCATCGTGGCCATTGTTCTCCTGGAAAAGTGAATTTGATTTTTGAAAGCAACCAATAGCTAATGGTAAGAGAAGAGATCAGCCCAGGCCATTTTCCTTTAAAAAAGAAAAGACAGTAAAGTGACAAACTTGTCTTTCTCATCTCATTGGTACGGAGGACAGTTGCCAAAGAAATGGTTCAAAGTAGTTTGTGGCAATGACATCACTACTTTGAAGGTCAAGCCTCATTTTGGTGTAGAGACTGGAGCCAGTGATTTTATTGGAAGAAAATATTGGCCGCTAATTTTCTTCTTCCAGAAAATTAATGTGATACATGACAGCAATAACAAAGGACATTGGCCCTAGCCAGTTTAGCTCAGTGGATAGAGCATCGGCTGACCCACACACGGAAGGGTCTCGGGTTCAGTTCTGGTCAAGGGCACGTACCTGGGTTGCAGGCTCAATCCCCAGCCCTGGTCCCCTCGCATGTGGGAGGCAACCAGTCAATGTGTCTCTCTCACATCAATGTTTCTCTGTCTCTCCCTCTCCTTTCCACTGTCTCTAAAAATCAGTGGAAAAAATATCCTCAAGTGATGATTAACAAAACAAAAAAACAAATAAACAAAGGATATTCAAAGACAACACAGGAGCACTTCCACCGAGCAGTAGACGGCAATTGTCTAGATCACTCCACTCCTGACCATACACATTTCTGGTTGGATCAGAATTACTACTCTCTGACTAACAACATTGTACAGCATGCAGTGAGTGTGGGAAGCTGAATGGAGGGAGAGCCAAAGGGAAACTCCTCCCTCAAAGGGCCTCAGAATGGTGACTTCCGTTGTCATGCTCTCTGGTAATCACAGGAGAATTCCCAGTTCAGAAGTCACTCAAGAGGCAGCAGAGTTTGGTCCTGGAGCAGTTCAGTGCTTTTACTGCAGTCCGCACAGACTTCGCTATTTCTGGGGTAGGTGGGCCGACCTCACTCAGCCGTGGGGGTCAAGACAAGGGCACACTGGGAATTCCGTGGAAATGGTCGTTGTAACACGAAAGCTTTCCCTAGGAGATGTCATGTGGAACTATCAATATTTCACCCCATTTCACAGTTTGGTGGGTTGAAGATATAAAAATTAGCTTTCTTAACGTTTCGCTTTTTAAGGTTTGGGAGATTTCACTGAAGAATGTAGGAACTGCTGTTTCTTTTCTAGTCCCCGTGATTTTCTCCCAGGGCTTGTCTGGGCTTTGCTGCAGGCATGAAATGCGTGACAGCCTTTCTGGAGAAACCAGGGAGATCTTAGATCTGCTACTCGGGACCTCACACCCCTTGGCCCACAGGCCATTTAGCCCCACTGCTGAAGTCTTTGTAACCCACTTCCCCCAGTTTAGCAATTACTCTCTCAATACACAAACCAGACATTAATTCAAATAATTAATACAAATTTAAATTCCTAGAATATTAAAATACATCATTAGTTTAAGATATTCATTATAGTTGGCCCTTAGGGTTTTCAGTTTTCTCCTACATCATCCTTTTTTGCTCCCCATTTTTTGGTTATACTTTAATAAAATGCGGGGCCTGGCGAAGTCCACAGGGATGGAGTGCCACCTGGCTGTCTGTCAGGTTCGGAGAGGAGTGGAAAACAGTGGTATCAGGTGGGACTGAGGTTTCCTAGGCCCCTTGCCTCCCTCACAGGTTAGACTGAAGACAGCCTGATCGTTACTTTCAAAGTCTCCATGTTAACCTCTTCCTAAAAGCCTCATTCAGGAAGGTCCCTGGGATGACACAATGTAAAAATTGCTATCACTCTTCATAAAATCTCCCGGGTTCATTGATGATGATGTTTTTGCAAAGCAACTTGAACTTTGATGTAGGTTCTCAGGATTATTTGTAAAATCATGTCCAAAGAAAACATACTTTGAACTTGATTAGGAATATCCAAGAAAGAAGGGAAAGGAAAAGAATAGATTCACTCTAAAATGGACTCTGCTATGTAATTGGCAAATGAAATGTATCTATTGGGTACCATGCCCTTCAACAGACCCAGAAGAGGAGAAAGACTTGCTGTGTCATAGATGGAAGAGTTCACTCTCAAGAAACATTTTGAAATAGAATGATATTTCTTTGCTAAGAGTTACCTGACTTGCTATTGACAAGGGTAAAGTTTATGGTCAGGTTATCAGTTCTCTTGCCTAACTGACAATTCAAAAAACTGATTCCAAGAACAGGAAATTGGCTTCAATAGAAAGACTATTTGTTTATGTAAGAGGGTGGGGATGGGTGAGGACCAGTCTAGCTTATTCTTGTGACATATTTTAAAGGATATTTTAAGTGAATAATTCCTGTTAGTTGTTAGCTGTCTTTCTGATTATTGGTGGATGTGTTTGAGATGTGACTGATTTTTTTAAAGAAACATTCCAAGATTCTCCCCCTAAAAAAAGAAAAAAAAAAATCCTGTCCCATTCAGAATTTCAGTTTGGAAGTCTGCACACTTCTTCAAATGATTTTTTTTCTATGCCTTTACAAAAAAAAAAAAAATTAGCTCCATTTCTTGGAATTGCTTTCAGTGACTGCTTTGGGTCCCTTTGAATAGCAGTGAAGGCAAAATAAGGGCAATTCGTGGTGAGTAGTTGGGTTGACTTCCTGGAGCACTGGCCGACTCCAGCCTCCCCTCTGGACACTGGCTCCCCGACGTCTCACAGGGATGGTGCTTGTCTGCTGAGTCCCCTTCTGTGTTCCCACCAGACCCTGCTTCAGAAGTTACTGCTCTGTGCCCTGATGTCCTTGGGATGGCCTTGGACTTGGTCCTTGAGGTATAATGCCTTAGACAGTATAGCTGGGGACCATGTAGCTTGAGGTTTTAAAATGCTTTACTGATGGAGAATGATTTCTTTTGAGAAAGAAACAAATAACGAGGGAAAGAGAGATGGAAAGGGAGAGGAAGGGAGAGGAAGAAACAGCTTAAATCTGACCTAGTACATTCCACTGAAATTGTTTACCTTGAAGGGGAAAAAAATATTTTATTCTCCACCAATACCATATTAGCATCGTATTGCTCTGTCTCTTCTATACTAGCAGGGTGTGGCATTAAAAAGAATTCTCTTTGATTGGTAGTAGTAAACATTGTGGTGTGTGTTTGTTTGTTTGTTTGTTTTTAAGAAGACCAAAAAAGGAGGGAGCAGGTGTATTGGAACAGAGTGCTCTACTCCAGTGAGTACTCTGCATGAATGTTCACTCAGGACATGACGGGAACATTTCAGGGCGCTCCCCTTTCTAAATCAAAATGCGAGAAAATAGACAAGTTGGTTGTCGGATGAGCTTCTCTTCCACTTTTCCCACCACTTCTCCCTGACCAGATGGTACCTGCTGGATTTTGCAGTAAAAAGTTGTGTCTGCTGTTGGGGAGATGATAGTTTGACTCACTCTTTTTTTTTTTTTTTAATATATTTTATTGATTTTGTACAGAGAGGAAGGGAGAGAGAGAGTTAGAAACATCGATGAGAGAGAGTCATCGATCAGGCATAGGGGGAATATGCCCGCAACCAAGGTACATGCCCTTGACCGGAATCGAACCCGGGCCCCTTCAGTCCCCAAGCCGACGCTCTATCCATTGAGCTAAACCGGTTTTGGCTAGACTCACTCACTACCCTCAAACAGCAGTGTGGGATAGCAGGCCCAATTCTGCAGCACCTCCCCAAGAGCAGATGAGGGAGCTGAGGCCTGAGGGAAGGCGGTCACAGTGTGTGACAGGAGTTGTGTAAACGTTGCTCATTACACAGGTAGCTCTAGAAGCCTCCTAACCTTAGTCCAGTCTTTTCCCCATGTCACCATGCAGCTCTTAGAGGTCTCTCTCTCACTCCTCCAAAAGTGAGACATAATGCGCACTGGTTTCTTCCAGTCATGCTTTGTACCTGCTGAGTGTCACTTCTGTTAGGCCTCTGCATTAGAAATAAAGCTGTTAAACTCAAAGAACTAAAAGACACATAATGACCTATCCCTCTTCATTCTTGTAATAATTCCCTCAACTCCAGTTGCAACTCTGGCCAAATACCACCATCCTTAAAAGATAAGTGTCAGCTGCCTTGGCCAGTGTGGCTGAGTTGGTTGAGCATTGTGCCATGCACTGAAAGAAAGATTGCTAGTTCGATTCCCAGTCGGGGCACATGCCCAGGTTGTGCGCTCACTCAGGAGGCAGAAATCAATGTTTCATTCTCACGTGGTTGTCTCTCTCCCTCTCTCACTTCCACTCCCTCTCCCTCTCCCTCTCCTTCTCCCTCTACCTATACCTATACCTCTACTTCTTCCTTCTCTCTTTCTCTACCTCTAAAAATCAATTTTTAAACATTAAAAAAAAAGATAAGTGATGGTAGTTAACATTATTGAGCACTTACTATGAGCTAGGCACTGATTCAACAGGCACTGTATTTGGACATCATATAATAATGTGGTAAGGATCCTTTTCAAGATTCTGAAGATCAGGCACAGGTTAAGAAATCTCAAGTTCTCATGACTAGTATGTGGCAGGCAGGGATTCATCCCCAGGCTCTAGAGCTTACAAATTCAATCTTGACACTTTACCTT